TCCCCTGAGGTGGAGTCACTAGCCATGAGCTCAGGAAAAACCAGCATTTTCCAAGTCATTCACATGATTCATGTAAGTACAAATAGTAAAAAATTTCCCAACAATAAAATTTCATATGGCTGTACATGTGTCATCGAGAGTGGGCGTAAGTGTCTGGAAACAAAAACTTTTAATAAGAAAGAGTTGAAATGGTTAAAATAGTTCAATATAAAAAAACAAAACAAACAAAAAAAATACCTCATCAGAACTGGGCAATAGATGTTAAAAAAAAAAATAACTGACCATAAAATATATATTAATTTGATTTAACAAATAAGTGTTTAGGCTTAGATGATTCTATGTTAACCAAGGACGGTTCTATGTCTTAATAACCAAGGACAATTTCATGTTTTGGATTTCTGCGTCACTGTGCCAAGTAACGATAATGTCATATGTTTGGGTTTGTTTAACAAAAACATCCCATGAGGAAAAAAAAAAAAACTGTGTAAAAAAACCTTGCTTGAGAACTGCAAAATACACTCAGATTCAAACTGCCTCTGTGTTTGTTTCTGTTTGTCACCACTGAATCCTTACCCATCACATCTTTGAGAACCCTCGTCCCAGGAGCCCCCATACCTGACTGGGGTAGTCCATAGCACAGTTGGTAAACTGTTTAGGAAGGGTTAGGAGATTTGTGGCCTTATTAGAAGAGGAGTATCACTGCAGGTGGGCTTTGAGGTTTCAAAGGCCCATGCCAAGCCCAGTATCTGTCTTTCTCTGTCTTTGTCTCTCTGTCTGTCTGTCTGTCTCACCCTCTCTCTGTCTCTCTCTCTCTCTGTCTCAGGATGTAAAGCCCTCAGCTACTGCTCCAGTACCATGTCTGTCTGCTTCCTGCCATGATGATCATGGACTAGCCCTCTAAAACTGTAGCAAGGCTCCAATTACATGCTTCCTTTTAAGAGTTGCCTTGGACTTTCCTGATCGTGGTATCTATTTACAGCAGCAGAGGGAATATTAATTTAACTTTGTAAAGATGTGTTACTTTTGCTTATTCTGCATTTGTTTAATGGTGTGAAGATGTGTTGGTTGGCCTCCCTGAGGCACCTGATTCGTCTAATAAAAAGCCGAATGGCCAGCAGCTAGTCAGAAGAGGGATAGGTGGGACTGGAGGGCAGAGAGAATAAATAGGAGGAGGAATCTGGGCTCAAGGGAACAAGAGAGGGAATGAGGGAGAAATATATACCCGGGGCCAGGCAGCCAGGCACAGAGTAGGACATACAGAATGAAAGAAAAGTAAAAAACAGTTTAAATTAAGTTCTAAGAACAAGTGGGAAAAGCCTAAGATAAGGCCAAGCATTCATAACTAATAAGTCACCTTGTCATGATTTGGGAGCTTGTTGGTGGTCCAAAATAAAGCCTGCTACAAAGAATTCCCTATTTAGACCCTTACCCCATTTTTAATTGGACTGTTTGCTTTCTTGATATCTAGTTTTTGAGTTCTTTATGTATTTTGGATATTAGCACAATATTGGATATGTAGTTGGTGAATATTTTCCTACTGCAGGTTGCCGCTTTGTGTGAATGACAGTGTCCCTTGCTGACCAGAAGCTTCTCAGTTTCACAAGGCCCCGTTTATTAATTGTTGAGCTTCGTGCCTGCATTAATGGTGCTCTGTTCAGAGAGTTGTTTTCTGTGCCAGTGTGTTCAAGGCTATTCCCCACATTCTCTGTGTGTCAGATTCAGGGTATCTGGTTTCATGTTGACTTTGGAGTTGACTTCTGTGCAGGATATATTTGGATTCTTTTATATGCCATCTTCCAGTTTGACCAGCACCATTTGTTGAAGATCCTGCCTTTTTCCCAGTGTGTTTCTGGCTTCTTTACCGAAAATCAGGTGTTCACAGATTATGGATTTGTGTTTGGGTCTTCAATTCAGTTTCCTTCATCAATGTGTCTGTTTTGTGCCATGCTTTTTATTACTGTAGCTCTATAGTACAACTTGAAATTGGAGGTGATGATACCTCCCGAAGTTCTTATATTATTCTGGATTGTTTAAACTATTCTTGGTGTGTGTGTGTGTGTGTGTGTGTGTGTGTGTGTGTGTGTGTGTGTGTGTTTCCATATGATGCTGAAATTTTTCCTTTCAAGATCTGTGAAAAATTGTATTGGCATTTTGATAGGATTGCATTGTATCTGTAGATGGCTTTTGGCAAGATAACCAATTTTACTATGTTAATCCTAATCTATGAGCTTGGGAGATCTTTCCATCTTCTGATACCTTCTTCAATTTCTTTCTTTAGTGACTTGAAATTTTTATCATCCAAGTCTCCTACTTTCTTGGTTAGAGTTACCCAAAGATATTTTACATTATTTGAGGCTATTGTGAAAGGTGTTGTTTCCTTGATTTCTTTCTCAGTCCATTTGTCATTTTTATTTGGGAGGGTTACTGATTTTGGGTGCATTAATTTTGTATCCAGCCACTTTGCTGAAAATGTTTATCAGCTGTAGGATTTCCCTGGTGCAATCTTAGGGTAACTATGTATTCTATCATATCATCTGTAAATCAAGATACTTTGACGTCTTCCTCTCCTATTTGTACCTACTTGATCTTCAGTTTCCTTCTTGCTCTAGCTAAATTATATTAAACTATATTAAATAGGTGTGGAGACAGTGGACAACTTCGTCTTGTTCTTGCTTTCAGTGGAATTGCTTTGAGTTTCTCTTCATTAGAGTTGATGTTGGATATGGGATTCAGTGTCTAAATATAACCTTCCAAGTGTGGCTTTCGTCAATACAACTCAAGAGTATTGTAAGTTTTATACACTTAGTGTGTCTGGTTTTGAAGGACAGGGGATTAATGCTGCTATTCCATAAATCTACCCTTCTGTGAGATATGAGTTACCTGCAAGGAATCTGACTGAGTGCAATGATAACCCTGTAAGAGAAACCTCAAGTGCTAGTTAGCATCATTATTGGGGGCCCGAATGGCTCCACTGAAGGAAAATATCAAAGTTAAGATGGCAGTGGTATAGTTTGAATGGAACTGGACAAATTAGCTCTTCTATTAATGAATCTGTTCAGTGGCATAGCGTTGGGATGTCAAGTCCTCTCTTGCAATTTGGCAATTCAATTCAGACTAATTTGTGGAAACTAGCCAGTGCCTTCTGCCCTCTTAAAGCATGGAAAGGAAAGTTAAACATTAAGGATGACCAATCTACTTTGTCTTTTAGACTCAATCAAAGCCATCCAACAGCATCCTAATAATTATAGCATCACTTGTGAACGCTGTGCCCGTCGTACCTACGTTAATTCTAGTACGTCTTTAAACTTAACCTCTTCACGTTTAGACATTCTTAGAGCAAGAGCAGCAATCTGGATTCCAGTGAAGCTGTCGAGGCCATGGCCAGACTCCGCTGTGATGGTCCTGGTCCAGGGTCAAGGCCATGGCCAGACTCCGCTGTGATGCTCCTAGTCCAGGGTCGAGGCCATGGCCAGACTCCCTTGTGATGATCCTGGTCCAGGACACCACTGAAAGAATATTAAAAGGAACATGTAGAATGGTTGGACTGATTATTGCTGTTATGGGAATTATTGCACTGATTGCTATTGCTGCAACAGCTGGAGTGGCCCCTCATAAAGAAACTCAAAACTGCTGAATCCGTTAGAGACTGGCATAAATATCCTACAGAATTTTGAACTGAACAAAATAAAATAGATAATAATTCAGTTAATGAATTAGCTGACTTGAGACAAGCTGTTATATTGTTAGGGGATCTGTTAGAAATATTGGAGCAAATAAAATTAAAATGCAACGGACTGTCACATTCTATTGTATTACACCTTTAAGGTTCAATAATAGCAAGTATGATTGGGAAAAGGTTAAGATGCATTCGATGGGTCACCCTAATTCTTCTCACATGATTTACAGCAAGGAATTATGGAAACTTTCACAAGGTTACCTGATATGACAGGAACGGATGTTATGGAAAGCCTTGCAATATCACACCCTCATTCAACCCTGTGAATCACTTTAATAGACTCCTTGTTTGGCAAGTGTTACTCTTGCGCTAGCAATAGTAACCTTATTGGCTCTAAAATATGTTTTGGCTTACTTAAGATTGTAAATCAGAAAGCTAGAGAAAAGGTGGTATTTGCTGTAAAGCTACATAATCTCCAATTAACTGTTGCATATATAAAAAAAACAAAGTGGGGGGGGGGCTATGTTGGGAGAATCCCTGCAGATTTCTGCAGTTGGTTTGATGCCAGATGGAATGGTAACACCTAGCTTTGATCTGCCTTCTGTGACTGGTACCTTGCCCCTGATACCTTCTGTTTGAAGTCTTATCTGAGAGTTTCCTAGGGGTTCAAAGCCTATGTAAAATTTGGTTGGGAGAGTACCCAGCAACCCGGGAAGATTTTTTTAATGAGAATTTGCATTTGCCATTGTCCCTTTGAGAAGCTTAGTTAAGATGTTTTGGTTACAGAAATTGACTAAAGATGTTAACTGTAACAATAATAATGACTTTTTCAAAAGCCATTTGCTAAACTACAATGGCTTAGCCCACAGAGGCTGACCCCCCAATCCCTGAAGCTAGAAAAGTGTTCAGTGCCTTCTTTCTGCAGACCCTCGTGAACCCACACCTAATCTATACCATTAATAGAGTTTTCTTTTATCTTCGCTGTGCTTATGATGTTATGTGTTTTTGTTCAAGTGAGCATGTAGGTCAGAAGACAACCTCCAGGGCTAGTCCTTGTCTTTTTTTTTTTTTTTTTTTTTGAGACAAGCACAGACACACAAACATTTGCATAAATAATCTAAAAATAATAAGTCGGGAGCTAGAGAGATGGTGCAATGATGAAGAACACTGGCTACTCCTCTAGAGGATTCAGGTTCAATTCCCAGCACCCATATGGCAGCTCACAACTGTCTGTAACTCCAGTTCCAGAGAATCTGGCACCCTCACACAGACATACATGCAGGCAAAATATCAATGCACATAAAAATCAATCAGTAATAATCTGATCAGCATAATGAATATAGCTTTATTATAGTAAAGATATATGACAAAAGTATCTCAAGTTGTAAAGTTCATAAATGACAATAATTTGAGAATAACATGCACATGAAATGCACTTAAATGTCCTAAATATGTATATTTACTCACAATTGCTTTATAATACTAGAAGGTACCAAGAACTGCACTTGTACGATACTCAGTACTGACCAAAACATTCAGAATTAAAAATTAAAGACAGCACCACCCTTCCCTTCAAATGTTAGGTTCATCTCTTCTGTGAGTTTCCATTTACCTTTACACCTGAAACTTTTCAAATGTAAGAATTATTCTAAATAAGCTTACAGATGTGCCATAGGATTCTCTTTTCTTCCATAGTATATACATATATACTATATTTTATATATATATTATATGTATTATGTGTCTCCTGTCACCTTAGCCACACACGATTTTCTTTGAGACTTTTTCCTTGAATTCACTACACGGTCCGAGCATGGCCCCGAACTTCTGACGCTCTTCACCTTCTGAGTATTAGAATTTCAGGCACATGCTACAATGCCTGATTATACAGAGCTGGAGAACAAAGCCAGGGACTCATGTGTGCTAGACAAACGTGGACAAACCGAGCTCCATCTCCAGGCCCAAGTAGAACTTTTTAAATGCAATTCTGATTTTTTTTTTAAAATTCTTTTGGACTCGCTATGTTGTATTAAAACACACAAGCACTTCTCTGAGTCTTCTTAGAAAATAAATGATCCACATATATGCAAATACTCTAAAATAAAACTATATGCCACTTCTCTTGTAAGGAATTTTCACAGTACATACACAGCCCACCAGTAAAGTCTTGCCTAAATTAACATAGATTATATCATGACTTTGGATGACAGATATTTTGTTTTGCCAAAAGTTCTTCTGGTATTACATGTAAGGTTTTTTTTTTTTTTTAAAGAAATTATCTTAATGAGTTAGAAATAAATTAGCATTTCTTGCCTTTGTGTCACATGATGTCATAGTAGTGAAAAAAGTACACTCTTGGAAAAATGTTTTAAGTTTCCTCACAAGTGAGGGCTGGAGATGCTGCTGGGAAACCAGAGCATGTGTATAGCACACACAGGCTCTGGGTTTCACACCACAAAAAAAAAATTATAAATGTCCAGTTGTTGACCCATGTTTCTTACACTTCCAGGGTTCTGCACCAGTATGAGTTTCCTGTCACATGAGAGGTGAATCCTTGGATATTCCAGGTTCCTTGCCTCTATACACTCCTAAGCTTGTGAATCTGAAGGGCATTTCCACATTCTTTTATGTCTTTTGAGTATGCACTTTCTATCACTTAAGTTCGAAAGCATGAATAAGTGTTTCCACATTCCTTGGATTCAGTTTTCTTAGCCAGCATTTTACAGATGTCTACTAAACTCTGAGCCATGAAGAAAGGTCTTTCCCACATTCCTTATATCCATAGTTTCCTCTCATGAATATTCTCACTTTGATCAAGATAATGAACCAAGAAAGTCCCTCCACATTGCTTACCACCATGGACTGGCATGGATAGTTGTAGTGAGTCTTTCTGTCTCACCAGCAGCCCCCAAATCATGCAAATCATGACACAGAGACTTCTTATTAATAATGAAAGCTCAGCCTTAGCTTGTTCCCTAGCTAGCTCTTATTAGTTAAATTAACCCACATCTTTTCATCTACTTTCCGCCTCATGACTTTATTACCTCATCCCTGTAGTACCCATCCTGCTTGCTCTCCATCTGGCTGCTAACTCCACCCTTCTTTCCAGTTCTCTCTGCTTTCAAAGTCTTGCCTAGCTATTGGCTGTTTAGCTTTTTTCTTAAACCAATCAGTGGCATATCTTCACACAGTGTAAAGGAATATTCCACAACAGATAATGGCTTGAGTTATAAATGAAGCCTTTCCCAAATCTCAGACATAGATTTCCTATCGATGTGGACATTCTATTGTCAGGTAAGATTTGAGACACAAAAATGGGCTTTTCCAAGTGTTCTGCCTTAACTTGATTTCTCATCAGTATAAACCTCCTGACACTGATTGAGCTGAGCCATGAGGAGAATCTTCCCAACACTCCTTAAATTTATAAGGTTGTTTACCAGTGTGAACTCTCTCATGTTCAATATCATCTGACTGCCACCTGAAGGCTTTTCTGCACTCATTACCTCCTTGGGCTGTTCGACATTGTGAATTCTCTGATGTTTAATTAGATGTGACTGCTGAATAAAAGCCTTTCCACACTCATTACATTCATAGGGTCTCTCACCAGTGTGGATCCTCTGATGCCGAGCAAGGTCTGAGGCAGAAGCAAATGCTTTCCAGCAGTCCTGACATTTATAAGGCTTCTCACCAGTATGTAGTCTCTGATGTCGAGTGAGTTCGGAGCTATACCGAAAGGCCTTTGGGCATTCCTTACATTGAAAACGTTTCTCCCTAATATGAATTGTCTTAAGACCTGTATCACTTGAATGCCAACTGAAGTCCTTCCCATTCTCTTTATAGTCATTTGTTGACTGAGTCAGTTCTGAACCTTGAAGAAAGGTCTCTGCATATTCCTTATCTCCCCAGAATTTCTCACCAGTATGAATCAACGAGTGCTGAGGATGTTCTAAACTGGAACTAAAGGCCTTGTCACCTCCATTGAATTCCTGTGATTTCTTACTATGACTTTTTTGGTGTTGAGTTAGGTGTGCACCGCGAGTGAAAGCTTTTCCACACTCCTTACACACATAAGGCTTTACACCGGTGTGAACTCTCTGATGCCGGCCAAGGTCTGATCTGCAAATGAATCCCTTCCCACAATCCTTACACTTGTAGGGCTTTTCACCAGTGTGGATCTTCTGATGGCGAGAGAGATCCGAGGGACAACGAAAGGCCTTCTCACAGTCCTTGCATTTAAAAAGTTTCTCCCTATTATGAATTTTCTTAAGACTGCTGACAATGGATCGTAGACTAAAAGCCTTGCCACATTCTTTACATTCGTATATTTTCTTGCCAGCGTGAAGTGTCTGATACTGAGTAAGTTCTGAATCTGGAAAAAATGTCTTCCCATTTTCCTTATCTTCAAAGAACTTCTCACCAATGTAAATTAACTGTCGCTGAGTATGATCTAAGGCAAAACTAAAAGAGTTTTTACATTCTTTACACTTATGTAACTTATCACCATTATGAATTTTCTTGTGTTGACTTAACTGTGACCCACATGTGAAGGCTTTCCCACACTCTTTGCATACGTAAGGTTTCTCGCCAGTGTGAATTCTCTGATGTTTAATGAGATGTGACTGCTGAATAAAAGCCTTCCCACACTCATTACATTCATAGGGTTTCTCGCCAGTGTGAATTCTCTCATGGCGAGTGAGGTCTGAGCCACAACTGAAGGCCTTTCCACATTCCCGACACTGGTAGGGCTTTTCCCCCGTGTGAATCCTGTGATGTCGAGTGAGGTCTGAGCTGTAATTAAAGTACTTGCCACATTCCTTACACTCGTAGGATTTCTCACCAGTATGAATCCGAACATGGACACTGAGTAGGGAATGAAATCGGAAGGCTTTCCCACATTCCTTACATTTAAAAGGCTTTTCCCCAGTGTGAATCCTCTTGTGACCAGTAAGACTGGAACGAAAACTAAAAGCCTTGCCACATTCTTCACACTGAAATGCTTTCTTGCCAGTGTGAACTGCTCGATAGCGAGTAAGCGTAGAACCAGGAGGAAAGCTCTTCCCACACTCTTTATCCTCTTCGAATTTCTCACCCGTGTGAATTAACTGAGGTTGAGTGGGATCTGGGGCAAAGCCAAAGGATTTTTCAGATTTAAATTCACTTGCTTTCTCTTCTATATTCAGTCTGGGACACTGATTAAAAGCCATGAGCAATTTTTCAAAGGTAAGTGCCATTTGCTTAAAGCATTCTTCTTGACTCTCCCTTCGTGTTAAAACCTGACCTTTGCCTTCCCAGTCAGCTCTAGGACAGGAGGAACCTTCAAGGCTGTGGTTTGTATCAGTTTTCATGACTTCCCACTGGGATAACTGTCTTGCACATGTACTACTTTTTGGAAGGACTTTGTTCATCTGCCACACGGGATCTACATCTGAAAGATAATGTAAATATATACTGTTTTACTACTCATAAAGGGAAAAAATGCCCTCAAAAGAAAACGGTAAATCACATAAGAAGTGAATGTCTTAAAAAAAAAAAAAAAAAAAAAAAAAAACCCAAAGCTGGAAAATATTAAAAGGACAAAAAAATAAACAGAAATTTCAAAGAGCTAATTTTAAAAGGGTTGGGGGTTGCTTAGAATGGACTAAGATTTTTATAAAAACCAGTGACCAGGAGGCACAAATGGGGTGATTAAGTAACAACAATGTAACATGGCATCCTGTTTAGTTTCCTCCATCTCCATTTAATTGATTGCAGACTGCAGCTTTTGTGGCTTTTAAAGGGTTATGAATGTATTTCATGTGTATAGATGTTGCCTACATGTATGTCTGTGTAACATGTGTGTGCCTGTACTCAAGGAGGCCAGAAGTTCAACAGATCCCCTAGGATTGGAGTTAGGAAGCTATGAGGCACATGTGCTCTTAACCATCAGTGCCTACATGGCTTTTTATACAATAGGGGACAAAAGCACATTCAGGCTCGCTCATTCAAAGACAAATTTATTTTTCATTTAATATTATTACTATTATTGTATATGGGGGGAAACAGACAGATGGACAGACGGTGAGAGCATGTGGAGGTCACTGTATGTATGTGTGACTGTGGGCATGCACATGCCACTGCAGACATTTGGAAGTCATTGTGTGGGAGGTATGAACGAACGTGCCACAGTAGACATGGGAAGTCATAGTACAGCTTTCAGAGGCCACTTCTCCTCTCCCAGCATGGGTTTCAGGGACTGGATGCTGCTCCTCAGAAGGGCGGAGCAAGAATCACTTCTGCCTGCTCAGACACCTTGCTTGTTCTAGCGCATTACACCTAAAAGGCACCTGCAGACGAAGTGCTGGATGACCGACCAAGGCCATCCTCGCCCGCACATAAGAAAGTGGACAAACACAGGGAAGCAGACAAGCCAGGGTTTGTCTCGGCCACACATTCTCCTGGATGTCTTCCTTTGGCCCTGACCTCTTTGCAGGTACTTCCTCCTAAGTGGCCCAGACTGCATTTCATTTTGCTTTTAACTTCTAGCCTATCAGGTGTTCTTTTCATGTATGACCTGTTCTGCAAAAATTTCTGGATGTGTTCCTATCACAGAAAATACAAGGTCTGTTAATATATACGCTCTCTTAACACTGAAATGAGAAAACTGGTAGACAGGGTCTGGGCTCAGGAAACACACTTGGAAGGAGAAAGTAGGTAAAGTACGGACATTCAAGAAGGCTGCACGTGGTAGCACACAGAAGGAAGGACACCTTTCTCTGGGTAGCCCTGGCTGTCCTGGAACTCACTCTGTAGACCAGGCTGGTCTTGAACTCACAGAGAGCCACCTGCCTCTGCCTCCTGAGTGCTGGGATTAAAGGCGTGCGCCACCACCACCTGGGCAGAAGGAAGGGAATCTTTTAAAGCAGCTGAAAGGAATGACACATTTGCCAATTTTTAGAAAGTGGGGAAATCCACACATACCGAAACGGACAAAGGTAAGGAAGTAGTGAGAGACGGGAAGACATCTGACCTACATCATTATAAAACAATGGTCCCTAGAGAGGAAAAATGACACCTCACTTTTTGTCACTCGGGGGACAAATAAGACGATGGAGCCAGGAGTCGCCTGGAGTGAAGGTGACTCAGGGAAGGGTGGGCTTGCTTTGTCCTTTTTCAAAGGCCGTCAGCCAGGGAAAGTGTGTGTTAGAGGCGCTGCTGACCCACTGAGCAGCCAGGCTACCGGATGACTCACCTGGGCAAAACCTTCTGGTCTCACTGCCCAAATCCACGAAGGCATCTTGTTCTTTTTCCAACACAGGGAACATATGCGGTCGACAAATGCAAAGCCCTGCATGTGAGATGAAGCATAGGAAGCAACCACATGGTTAAGAATTGCAAACTTTGCATCTGCTGCCTTGGTAACAAAGGAAGAGGGACAATGACAGAACGGCGAGAAGAAAGGATAAAGCATTCTGGGAGGATGATGACCATGGGAGCCCTCAGTGATGACTACAGTCTTTGCAGAAAACGCTACCCATTTTCCCAGGAGAAACACAGGTCAGAAATCCCCTTGACATTTGCAAAGCAAGTCAATAACTGGCAATAAAGCACCAGGGATGTCTAGGGTCAAACTGAGTCTTACCTACTGAGACAAGGTGGCAGTAGTTCTCCAGCATCACATCCCTGTATAAATGCCTCTGTTCCAGGTTCAGATATTCCCATTCTTCTGGAGAGAAATCTATAGCCACGTCTCTGAACGTCATCACCTGCCATGCGACAATCAACCCCAAGGTGAATGGTAAATTTTAAACAAATGATTTAGATGGAAGGAAAAAAGTTGGCAACGGACGGAGCAGCAAGTGGGGCATACAAGGAGCAAAGACTAGGGTTGGCAGTTTGTGGTACAGGAGAGAAGGAAAGGATCAAGCTGAGTGCCCACAAGCGATTAAAAACTGTTGCTCTGGGGACTGGAGAGAGGGCTCAGTGGTCAGAAGTGCTTACTGAAGGACCTGAGCTTGGTTCCAAGCTCCCATCCTGGGCACCCATACTGCCCATAGCTCCAGGAGATCCAACGGCCCATTCCAGTCTCCCAAGCATCCATTCATACATGATGCTTACAGAAGCATACATACATACACATCAAGAAATACACTGTGGTCAGGCAGTGGTGGCACATACCTTCAATACCAGCAGTCGGGAGGCAGAGGCAGGAGGATCTCTGTAAGTTTGAGGCCAGCCTGGTCTACAAGAAACAAGTTCCAGGATAGGCTCCAAAACTACAGAGGAACCCTGTCTTGAAAAAAAACAACAACAAAACCAAAACAAAAAGGAAATTGTAAAACCAAACTATGCTTGCTCACAGTATCCTGATAGGCTTCATATGAGGAACAGCTGAAGAAAAGGGTAGAAGCCCAAAGACATTCTAAGAGTTTATGGCAGACATCATGGAGCGAATATACCTGTTTGGAGTCCCTAACTCCAGATATATGTAAAACGTGAAAATGTGAACATTTTAAGAACTGTCCATTTTGTTTGTTTATTTGTTTTTTGTTTGTTTTTTTTTTTTGTGTGTGTGTGTGTGTGTGTAGGGTACTTTTTGTTGAACTTCCCACTGGTTTCAATTTAAAGGACTCTTTAGCAATGGAATCCCCAAACCCTGTTCTTTGTTTTGGGGGCTTTTGTTGTTGCTGCTTTGTTTTCTGAGCAGAATGTGTTGCTCCCTGTAAGCAACTGCCCATCAGCTAGCTTCTTGCTGATCCCCAGGTCTCTGGATGCTCAGTGTTTCTGCCATAACCTCTAAATGCACTGGGAAACACCACACACTGAGACCGGGACCGCGCAGGCGTGAGTCTCATCCTGACTGCAGTGTTCCAGTCTGTATACCGGGAAAGTGCAAACCTTCTACTGTCTCCTTCCGCGGTCATTTTGCCTGAGGGTTTGAAGCGACGCGCTAGGATGTCCTCTCCAGAGGCGTATTCCTCCTGATGTGCTTTCAGGTCTAAAACACAAGGGCTACTGACTGCCGTGTGGTGGAGGTAAGAGGCTGCCAGCTGAGGGGAGCGAGCGTGCCATGCAGGGGGAGCCCTGGGCGGCTCCTTAGTGTCACTGACACGGAGTCGACTTAGAGAAGTAGTTTCAGAACGAGCGACAAAAACATTCCTATGAGGAGAAATAGTAATTTCTGAGAAAACACCAACTCACGTGGGCCATGATTTCAAACTCCTGGGTGTGACCGGTCCCGTCTTCTTGGTTCCTACCTCTTTGAAGCCAGCTCCTGAGGAAACAGCACAGTGAAGAGGGACATGAGACGCCTGGCTTTCCAGAGGCCTTTTAAAAGGACGAGGAGAAAGGCCATTCCCTTCCCCGGAGGAAGGTCAGAGGGAGTGTGATGAAATGTTGGCCCCGCCAAAAATCAAGAGAACCCCAGCTAAAAGAGGATGGAGCTGTTGTAATGGAATTAGTTATGTCAAAAACCATCCCATAGCCAGCCAGTGGGGGTGCACGCCTCTTATCCCAGCACTTGAGTGTTGCGGAATATTATTTGAAGATGTGTTAACATCTGTGTATGCTGTGGAACGTTTGTTTTAGTGATGCAAAGATGTGTTGCATTCTTTTATGTTGCATCTGTTTAACTCTGGGAAGCTGTGTTACTGGTCTACTAACAAGCTGAACAGCCAATGGCTGGTCAGAGAAAGGATACGTGAGGAGCTTGCAGGCAAAGAGAATAAATAGGAGAAACCTGGGGAAGACGATGGAGGAAAGAGAAAAGGAGGAAGAGAGGCCGTGGGGGGCCAGCTCCCGGCACCCAGCTCCACATGGAGTAAGAAGTAAGAAAGGTATACAGAAATAGAGAAAGATAAAAGTCCTGAGGCAAAAGGTAGTCAGGATAATTTAGGTTAAGAAAAGCTGACTAGACTCAAGCCAAGCTAGGCCAGGCATGTATAAGTAGTAAGTGTATTTACTTGGGAGGTGGGTCCAGGCCCTTCCAAAAGAGTAAAGCGACCAAAGAACGAGGAAAGAGTAAACAACAACAAAACAACACTTGAGAGTCACAAACAGGCAGATTTCTGAGTTTGAGGGGAAGCCTAGTCTACAGAGGAAGTTCCAGCACAGCCAGGGCTACAATGGACAAACCCTGTCTTGAAAACCAAACAAATAGAAAGAATCATTCCATAGACCAGGATATGAAACAAGGTTATTCTGACTGAATTGAAATGTCTCCAAAAGCTCCACAAAGCTGGAGTTAGAAATCTTCAAAGGAAATGGAACGCTCCCTTCCGGGAGCCACCAGAGCTACCCGGACTCCTGTGTGTCCAGGGCATGTCTAACCTTCCCCATGTCTAACAAGCCTATGGAGTAGTTGCCATGTAGAGCATCTAGGAAGGGTCACGCTGTAACTGAAGAACGTTTGGGGGCTACAACAAGCCTGAAGACACTCCCCATGCAGTCAGTTAGACAAGTACACACACAGCCCACATAGTTCCTACCAGGGCATCTGAGAACTGGGCACAGCTCAGCTCCACTGCCAGCCGCCATTAGCCTCCAATCTCTGACCCAAGTCCTAGGGGGTGTGCTTGCCAGCCTGGGCCTCAGGCCTCACCTCTGCAGACACATGGAACTGCTCTTTTAAAACCTGATTTTTACCTTATGTGAGTATTTTGCCTGCATTTATGCCTGTGCACCTTATGTGTGCCTGGTGTTCCCTGAGGCCTGGAACTGGAATTAGGGATGGTTATGAGCTGCCATGTGGGTGCTGGAAATTAAACCCAGTGCCTCTACAAGAGCATCAAGTGCTCTTAAGTGCAGAGCCATCCCTCCAGGCCTTAACACTATATTTTAAAAATAAGATGTAAACTTAATTAGAGATGTAGAAGGGGCTAGAGAGATGGTTCAATAGTTAAGAACACTGGCTGCTCTTCCAGAGGACATGGGTTCAATTCCCAGCGCCCACACACTGGCTCACAGACATCTGTTAACTCCAGTTTCAGGGGATCAGCCATCCTCTCTGTGAGCATTAGATGTACACAGTACACATACACATAAAATAAAAGTTAAAAGGAGGGAGGGAGGGAGAGAGAAGAAGGAAGGAAGGAAGGAAGAAGAAAGAAAGAAATGCCAATAAAAGGAGACATGAAGACGTAAGGGAGACTCGGGTGGCCGAACAAATACACTGTGAGACTGAGACTGTAAGTGTGTACCAATATCCAGCTGTCTGAGTAGATACGATGAAAGGACACGATTGTAAGGAGACAATGGTACAAAGAGCATCAATATCAAACCATTACCTAATAAGAGCACTAGATTAGAAACCATGAAGAGTGGATGCCCAGGGGAGGTGCCTAAGGGTTAGGAACACACTGTTGCTCTTGGAAAAGGCCTGGTTTGATTCCCAGCACCCGTTTGAAGGTACGCAGGCACCCACAGTTCCAGGGGACCCAATGTTTTCTTCTGACCTCAGAGAGGTACCAGGCACAGGCATAATGCTCACACACATAAAGTTATACAAAAATTTTAAAAACCATGAAAAGTTGTGCTTAAAAGGTCAACTGCCTGAAAATGAAAGGAAATTCAAGTTTTAATTAGACTTCTCCATCCTGAAAAACTTACGAGTTTTCAACATATTTGTAGGAAAAAAAAAAAAGATTCAATGACTACATATCTAGTCAATGTATTATTCATTTTTATTAACTTATGTTGGCTTTTGGAGACAAGGTCTCATTATGTAGCCCTGGCTGGCCTGGAACTTCCTAAGTAGATCAGGCTAGCCTCCAACTCACAGAGCTTGCCTGTTTCTGCCTGCAGAGCGCTGGGATCAAGGGCTTGCACCACCACACTCGGTTCGCCAGTTTTTAAAGATTACAAAGAGTAATGAGGAGCAAACATAGACCTGTAACCCTGCACTCAGGAGGCTGAAGCAATAAGATCACTATTGACTTGACGGGGGTGGGGGTGGGGTGGGGTGGGGTGGGGGGGTGGGGTGGGGTGGGGGGGTGGGAGGAATGTAATTCAGCGTGTAGACTGCACGTCCAGAATGCACCAAGCTCTCAGCACCTCGCAGACGAGCTGCTGCTCCAACTCTGGGCAGATACTGAGAGAAGAGCTTAGAGTGTGAACTTAAAGTCCTCTGCAAGAGCAGAAGCAGAAGATGCTCTTAACGGTTGAGCCATTTTCCAGCTCTTATTTTCAGTTTTAAAAGGTGTGTCTGTGTGTGTGTGTGTGTGTGTGTGTGTGTGTGTGTGTGTGTGTGTGGTGTATACAGGAGTGCAGGGGCTGGGACAGGAAGGCCCGTGTAGTGGGAGTGGCTGACTTCAGTGCTAAGAACCAAACTGCAAAAGCAGTACGCACTCTTAACACCTGGGCCTCTCCTATCCCTTTCTCTACTCTTTTATCTTCTATTTGTGTTTCTGGCATTTCACTCAGCAAGATGAGAACACACCTCCCTCAGCTCCAGCCTGTCTTTTAGGAATCACAATGTCTACTATTAAACATAATGTTCATTCTTGAGGGGTGCCAGGGCTGCTGTTCTATCAGGTTTACACACCCTGTCAGGTACATTTAGACCATCGCTTTCCAGAACACACACACAGGGCAGGATGATCGCCCACGCCTACAATATTAACCCCAGGTCTGTACCACCCCAGCCCCCAAGCTCCCATACTAACCCCAACTCGGCCAGCCCGGAACACCACCACATCCTCTTCAGAACTTCACGCTCAGTAGGAGAGCCCTTCACCTCTTACTCGGTTTCCATGGCCACTGTGATTCCAGGCCTTAAACTGACATCAGCTATGCTCCACGCATCCTAGCATCCTAGACGTTCCAAGGGATCCAGGCCTGAAGCCAATTGGGTTAGAACTCACGGAAGTTGCTTGTTCACAATGCACCCTGGGAAATGTAGTTCAACTATGTATGGTCTGTAACAAAAGACTAGACCACAACTATCAGTTTACAGGCACTGGCTTTAAACTCCAGTACTTCCACTGGCAGAGATCATCCCTCGCACAACGCTAACAACTGTTCACGAGAGCCTCAGGAATGTCAGGTCACGCTGAACTGGCCAATATCGAGCCCTACAAGCAGCTCTGCCTCGGCTATGCCATCTTTGGACCGGCAGTATCCGTAGGTGTGATGGCTCCTGGGAAATGTAGTCCACTGCCCGGGAAGCCAGAGCAAGGGTCCTCAGAAAGATGGCCAATTAATTCCAGGCACTGACAGACACGTGGATTGCTGCTACAAGGTCTTGTAAAACAGCATCATGCTACTGGTGAGTTTGAACTGTCTCTTCTCCAGCCTTAAACTGGCTGAATCCCTACCTCATATCACACTAGCACCTGCCTGCGTTAGAATGAAAGATAAAAAGTCTAAGTTTTAGTTGGTGCCCGTCCCAAACCCCCAGTGTTCTAAGAATCCATGGAAATCCTATCTTGAACTCGGGTTTAGTATCTCTTCCATTCTCAAACAATCAGAAATACCTCTGTCCCATGCCCCAGGCAATCTGTGTGTGTGTGTGTGTGTGTGTGTGTGTGTATGTGTGTGTGTGTGTGTGTGGTGGTGGGGGGGGTTGTTTTGTTGTTTTGCCTTCGTGTATTGGACAGGAAATCAGATCTCCTGGAACTGGGGTTACAGGCAATTGTCAGCCACCTCGAAGGTGATGGGATTCAAACGTAGGTCCTATGCAAGAGCAGTGTTCTTAACTGCTAAGCCATCTCTCCACCCCTTCAACTTCCCTTAAAGCGTGTGTCTTAAAGGCCTGTTCATGGTTACATTATCTGTTATATGGATGCCGTTCTTTTCTGCTTCAGTCCTCACAGAGGGAGCATGGTGACTAAAGTTCACACCGACTAAAAGAGCGGGGCTCCTAAGTAAATCTTGAAGGCATTTCAGCAGCGTCAGCCTCTCTCCGCAATGTATGGTTCGCATTTGGCTACTTCACTAAGGACCTCCTGCACTCACCGGTCTCTTGTTCAAACTAGACTCCACCCAGTTTGGTGAAGTTATAACCTACCTGAGAGGATGACACAAGATGTGGATTGTAATTCAGATAGCAACCGATGTGCAGGGCGTGGTGGTACTCACTTATATATAACCCTAGCACTTTTAAAGTGGGGATGGGAAAAGTCCAGAGTTGGACTCTGATCTAGCCTGTTGGAGGCCGGCATAAGCTACAGCCCATCTCAAAAACTAACAAAAACCCCACTTGGCAACTGTGCCTGAGCTTGGAGATATATATATGTGTGTGTGTGTGTGTATACACACACATATACATACATACATACATATATATCTCCCAGCCAGTGTAATCCCAGCACTGACAGATGAGTCTCTGTGGTCAGCACAGCAGGTTCTAGACTACCCAAGGCTACATGTAGAAGCCATGCCTCAAAAGGAAAGGGGTAAGCCTTATGGCATTAACATTTCTAAAGACTCCAGAGGAGGAAAGCACTTTGCTTTCAAGATCTGGATTATATGGGCACACATGGCTGTGTTTCTGTGTGGCTTACTTTAATTGTGCCCGATGTTGCTCTCAGTAATAAAGGTAATCACGGCTGGGGGGAGGTTGTGGTGGTCCACACTTCTCGATCTTTAAGAAGGAAAGGGTTTGCCTCCTGAACGGAAACCAGGCCTAAATAGCAAGATCGCCTGTCTAAACAAACCCAACAAATACAACAGAAACCACTCGGGAAGCAGAAGTAGGAGACCCTGGAGTTCAGGTAAACCTTATAAAGACACTTAGAGGCCAGCCTCAAAAGCCAAACAACAATGTCAAATCTCACCTGCGTCTCAAGAAGTCTCTAGAGAAGGGAACATGTCTGCTTGGAGGATCCTAGGCATAATCCCCACCCCACGAAAAGCACCCCCACGGGCAAACCCCTGCGTTTAAAAAGTCATAATGCATGTGGATTGCCTTCGCACAATTATCTTAGGGAAAAATCAAACTGCTAATTAGTTATTACCAGTTGTACCTTTTCCTCCCGTAATGTACAGGAAGAAACACACTTACTAATCGTATTTTGAAAAGAAAATGCGATTTAGGATTAGGATGCTTCCGATTCCACGCTCCTCCCCCACAGCGGCACCGCTCGAGCCCAATTCTCGATCACGCACATTTTTCCTACCTCGTAGTTTCTCTGTCGTTCAACTCCCCCCGGACCCAGTCGCACACTTCATCTCCCCATGATCTCTCTCACACACTCGGGCTTGCCATTGCGGATTCTGTCACCTACAGGACGAGGCTGGCTTCCTCCTGGTCAAACTGAGGTTTGGTTTCAGAACCTGGGATCCCACATTCGCTTTCTCAGCCCCAATTTCCAGCAGGAAGCCGAATTCGGAACAGCCTCCCTGGTCGGATTTCCGTCTGGGGATTGGATGACACAGCCCATGCCAGCCGCGCCCATCCGGTCGCTGGCACGGTCTTGGACTACATTTCCCAGAAGACCTTAGGGTCCCTGGAAACTCAAGTGCTGAGATATGGCTGGATCCAAAAAAGATTGAATCTGACCAGTTAAACCTGCAAGGACAATTTCGTTTAAGTGGGTAAAGAAGTTTATTGCCAAGCCTGATGACCTGAGTTCGATCCCCAGGGACACACGGTGGAAGGCGAGAATCGACTTCTGTAAGTTGTCCTTCAAACGCCACGTGCGCGCCCACACACACGCGCAAAAATAAACAATTATTGTATGTTTGTTGGTTAAAAGGAGTATTGCAACAAGCTCAGCACAGTGGGTCACGTCTTTAACTCCAGCGGTCGGGAAAGCGGAGGCAGGAGGAGAGCTACGAATTGAAGGCCACTTTGGGCTGTCTCTAAGTATTGCCAAAAGTCTGAGAACTACGGCCAACCAGCAAGATGAGCAAGATGAGGAAAGCACTGGACGAACTTAAGCATCTATAAGAGGGGTTCTTCCTAAGGACTCCGCTAACCTCGGGTTGAAGGCCAGGAAGGAGGTCTGATGGGAATGAGGGCTCAGAGGATCCTGATCAAAGTCTGGTCTAGCAGCCTTTGTCAGCTGGATTTCCTCACGACTACGATGAACAACCGAACCATTTGTACTCGTTGTCCAAGCCACAGCTGTGAATCCAGACTTCTGCCCACTGAGGCTTCCTGGGCTACATTTCCCAGAGGACCCCACCCCCACCCCCAGACGTGTATCTCCTCCTGAGAACTTCTTGTGGGAGAGCTACTCCTGCTAGGTTTGGGGAGAATTTGATAAGCCTACCCCTTGGTGCCAAGTGGTGGACGATCCAGACTGCGCAGCATGGAGGGAAACAAGCGGACTCGGGGAGATCTTGGGACATGTAGGAACTGTGAAGGCGGCAAGGATTGCTTGATTGGTGATTATGATCACGTCCTTTGTGTGTGAGAGTGCAGTTTGAGCGGTCATATCTTGCCTTTTACCAGTTCGAGGTCCCTTGAGTGTGCGTTCCCTGAGCTTGTGTGTTTGTGAGCGTTTGGCAAACTTGAGGAGAGTGTAAGATGTCTCCCCTGAGAGATATGACGATTTCCCAGTGTGCCTTTTCTATTTCCGATGGGGTGTGGTGGGCGGGGGTCTCCCTGCGAATTCTGCTGTTGTGACTCTGCCTAGGGCCTGGTATGTGAGAAAGCTTGCATGGTGGTGGATTGTGTTTGTGTTTGAGGCGCATGCGACTTTTGTGGCCCCGTGGTGTGAGTGTGATTGATTGGAGAAATCAGGTGAATGGCATCTTTGTGCCTTTGTGTCTCGAGCCACAGGAGACTTGGGACAGATTCTAGTCACCCTACTTTGGTCTGATACTTGGATTTATAGGAAGTCCCTAGACTTCTCTGATTTCTTTTTGTATGTGATGGGTGTTATGGGTGCTAAGCCAAAATGACCTCTAAAATGCTCGACCCACCAGAGCCTGGTGTGTCCTGACTCACTTTTTATTCCCCAGCTCTGTCCTGTTTAGAGAAAGAGCTCCAGAGAGGAATAAAGAACGGCAACTCAAGGTAGCTTGTGATTTACTGGCACATGCTTACCTCTGTCAAGACATGGCTTGTTTTCCTTCTGTTGAAAATTCTGACCCATCAGGTAACCGGATTCCTATATTTTGCCATTTGAGAAGCTGGAGGGTCCAAACTCTAGCCCATACTCACTTTCCCTGCGTTCTCAGGTTCCCATTATTAGTCAGGTGTTCTTTACTCTGTTTTTTTTACAATTTATTTTTATCCTGTGTATATGACTGTTGAGTGTTTATCTAATTATTCTTTATCAACAAAAACTTGGGAGTCAGGTATCTGAGTAAGAACCTAAATGATCAGAGAAGCCTTGGAGAAGCGACCAGAGAGCTCCTCTGCCTCTCATCCTCCATCCTAAAGGGCCAAGACTCTCTCCAAGTCCTGTCCTTCAATTTCCTCTGTCTCTCTGGCTGTGCTCCATCCTCCATAACCTCTATAGCTAGTGGCTAGCTCTGCGCTCTGATTCAAAGCAAACTTTATTGATAGTTCAGGAGCATCAGAATGTGATAAAATTATCCCACAATAGAGCATTCTGCCTGAATGTATATATGTGTACTATGTGTGTGTGTCGTGTCCTCGGAGGCCAGAAGTGGACTCCTGATGCCAGGGAACTTCAGTTACAGATGTCTGTGAGTCACCATATGGGTGCTGGGAACTGAACCCAGGTCCTCTGCAAGAACAGCCAGTGCTCTTAGCCACTGAGCCATCCCTCCAGGTCTGGATGGTCTCCTCCTCTTTCCTCATCTTCTTCTTTGGTTTTTTTGAGGTAGAGTTTCTCTGTGTAGCCTTGAATGCCCTGTAACTCTCTCTGTAGATCAGGCTGGCCTTGAACTCAGATCTGCCTGCCTCTGCCTCTCCAGGGCTAGGACTGAGGGCATGCGCTACCACCACCACCTGGCTCTGGGTCTTCTTTTTATGTTGTGGTTTTGTATTGTGTGTGGTGAGGCAGGTGTGGTGGGTGGAAGGTAATGAAGAACTAGAACCTTCCCATGATTTAAAAACACACTTAAAAACAACAACAACAAAAACAAACCAGGGCATTATGTAACTCAGGCTGGTCTGAGTTTTCTATGTAACCAAGAATGGCCTTGAACCTGTGATCTACCTGCCTCCATTTCTCAAATGCTAGGACTAAGGGCTGTGGCACCACACTGGGAAATTGTAGCAAGTCTTTCTCTGTCTCACCTGCCAACTCCGAAATCACGGCATGGAGACTTATCATTAATTACGAAAGTTCAGCCAGTAGATCTCTAGAGGAAAGAGGCCTTTTCACTGCTGGTAAAAGACATTGGAAAATCTTTGTAAGGATTCAGGCATTACGCTAGCCTGCCCGTGTCACCTGGCAGAATTCACTCAGGCAGTGCTTTGGTCAGCCCAGGGTTCCAAGAGTACTAGTCTGCAGGCAGGTGTAAAGGACCCCTTTAAAAGTCAGACCCTGCTCCCTTATGTTCTCTTTTGCTTTCCAGCTCCTCTCTCTCTCTCTCTCTCTCTCTCTCTCTCTCTCTCTCTCTCTCTCTCTGTCTCTCTGTCTCTTTCTGTCTCTGTCTGACTCTCTCTCCCCTCTCCTGTTCCTGGTGTCTCTATGTCTCTTCCCTTCCCCCTTACTCCCCTTTTTAAATAAACTCCTCATTCAGGCTCTATCTGCCTGGCATGTTATTCCCTCCACCTCGGTCACCCTCACTGGCTATGGAACCTGCTATGCTCTCCCACGTGGTTCCTTACCTTGGGACCCCCCAAAGGGATCCACCCACACACTTCTCCAGCTTTCTCCTATAACTGTAACAAAAGAACAATAACCTTGGCCTTCCTAGAGGCTATTTGGCTTCCCCTACAAATTTCTGTACTCCACCACAGGGCTGATGTCTGTTGACAAATGGCCCTAAGGCCAGTGGGGTCTATAGATACTCTGATGACATAGCGTGACCTCATACTGCCTGAGGGTAAAGAAGAAATGGACAGCTCAAACGCAGAGGTTGATGGAGGACACCAGAGGGAAAGACCACTCTCCCAGAAACAAATGACAGGGGTCTGGTAACTAATCTTCATCAGGATACTACTCACTGGGGTCCACAAAACCTTCTGAGTCGCTCAGACCAAGGTATGCTCTACCTGGACTGGACAGCCCAGCACAGGATGTCTCCGCCCGATGCCAGGTTTGTGCTCAAATGAATCAAAATAGAGAGTCCTTACCCAGGAAGGGATCCAAAGAGAGACCAGCACCCCAGTGAACTCTGGGAAACTGACTCCACTCAGATCTGGCCTGCTGGGGGAGGATAAAAGTACTTGCTAATTTTTATAAATACTTTTCCTGGGTGGGTAAAAGAGTTCCCCACCTGGAATAAGACTGTTCAAATAATAACTTAAAACACTCCTCCGGGAACTGGTTCCCTGACTTGGCCTCCCCTTAGCAATGGGGTCCAACAATGGCTCAGCGTTCATAGCCAAAGCCCCTCAGTTAATAGCCAATGATTTAGTAGGCATAGATCTAAAAACTGATTATGCATATAGACCTCAGACCTCCTGGGCAGGTAGGAAGAATGAGCAGAACATCAAAAGAAACTATCAAAATTTTCATTTGAGTCCAGTCAAAGACAGATAGACCTTGTTCCTTTGTTTCCCTTCAGTCCAATGCACCCATATATGGATGGACTTACCTCCTATGAGATTATGTTTGGAAGACTTCTTGTAACACATCTTTTTCTGTCCCACCAGCCAGCTCCCAAATAATGACACAGAGACTTATTATGAAAGCTGTTCCTTAGCTTAGGCTTGTCCCACTAGCTCTTAAGTTAACCCATACATTCATTAACAAACATTCTGCCATGTGTGTCCAACTCATTCTGTGCCTCCATGGTGTCTCTGGTTCTCCATAAAGCCTGGGTATTCACTGGACTATCTGGGAGACCTAGCCAACCTCTGAGTCTACCACCAGTTCCCCTTGTTTGATCTGCTGATGCTCTCTGGGTCAGGCAGATAGACAAAAGGACGGTGAACCTAACCTGGAAATGACCCTACAAGATGATTCTCTGTATTCCTGCAGTTGTAAAAGTAGGTGGGCTTACACCGTGGATCTAACACACCCGGGTCAAGAAAGTGGAAGCCACAGACGACAGTGACAAATGGACTGTTTCCTGACTGTGGACCCATTAAAATGAAGGTGACGTCTGGCTCCAGGACATTCCACTCTGTATCGCTACCTCCTCCTGAGTCTTGTGTTTGGCATGAGTACATGCTCCAATTTCTACAACCCTCAGGACAGGACCTGGCAACTGAAGAAGACAGATACAGGGAAGGTGACTACAGACAAGCAGCCCACATTCTGCCTTGGCCTTTGCTCACTTGATGCCCACTTTAAATGTCTGGTTGTACTGGGGAAAGAGAAGATGTGGGAATGTGTCTTTTGAGATGGGGATGCAGAGGTTACAATTCTACACATGCCCAGCAGCTGGACCCCTAGTTGCCAGGAACAAGAGAGTTCCAATTGCAAAAATTGTGGTTGTAAAGTAGAGGCTTCCTAAAAACAGATGAATACATAGAAAGAAAGCCCTCTCCCAAGAAATATAAAATAAGAAAATATAATCCAATGGTCATAAAACTAAAAATCTGGAAACTCCATAAGGAAGATTCTGGCATTTGGAAAACAGAGAAAACCTGGAGAATCAGATTCTATGTCACAGGATGGGACCCTGGGGATAGAGTTAGTCATTCCCAGCTAGAAATCAGCCAGGAATTATAGACTATGGTTGTTTGTTTGTTTGGCTGGTTGCTGTTGTTTGTTTTTTGACAGGGTCTCTAGCCTACTGGTGGTGGTGCACACCTTTGATCGCAGCACTTAGGAGGCAGAGGCAGGCGGGTTTCTGTGAGTTTAAAGCCAGCCTGGTCTACAGAGTTCCAGAACAGCCAAGGCTGCACAGAGAAACCCTGTCTCAAACAAACAAACAAAACATGTCTCATGTAGTCCAGGCTGGTCTGGAGCTTGTTCTGTGGCCAAGGCTAGCCTTGACCTCCTGACCCTCCTGCGTTTACCTCTCAAGTTCTATGATTTTAGGTGTGTAACACTGTGCCACATATGCAGGGCCGGGGAATCAAACCCAGGACTTCCTGAATGCTAGGCAAGCACTCTACCAACTGAGCTACGGTCCAACCCAGGACACCATCTCTTATGTCTGTTTATTTTGCTCAGAATTATGCTTTGGGGATGTATTTGTATTATTGCCCTGACATAGGTTTTTCATGAGGGCTCAAACTTCTAATTGCTTCAGAAAAGCATCAGGCCAGTATGCAGACTCTGGAAGCAGCTGCCACAGCCCAGGAATGGACCTATGTGTGCATTGATGGCATAAGGTCTGAACTTCCCACTACTGTAGTCTTCTATTTCAGAGCTACTAATTGCTAATATCTTACACACTCACGGGCACTGGGTGACAAAATGCACTGGAGATAAAGGTGAAGTAGTTAAATCTGAATTATTTCACTATTTTACTTTCATTTTCTAATGAAGGTGCTAATTTTAATACATTGTACTTAAAACTCTCATTTAACTATAGAACCCCCTTTAAAAATACACCAGCCAGTAGTCAAGTTTGGAGGTGCATGCCTGTAATCTCAGCACTAAGGAGGCTGAGGCAGAAGTATAGTGAGTTTGGGGCAGGTCTGGGAGACCTGTCTCTGAGAGAGAAGGGGGAGGAGGGAGGGAGGGAGAGAGAGAGGTTCAGGTGACTGCTATCCCCTGCAGACTTCCTGTCTTGCTTCACACGTTTGCTCAACTCACGATCTAAGAATTTCCAGTGCATCTGACCTGTGTCTTTCAAGTCTTTTTCAATATTCAAAACGCACTACCTCTTGCTTTTAATGCCACTTTGCTGGTTGGAAACTTTAGGTTCGTTGCTTCTTGTCTTTCCAGGTATTCTGTTCTCTTCCTTATTTTCTCTAAGTTGGGAGTCAGGGCTGTATGGATTAGAGGTTCGGTGCTTTTAGTTAGGAGTCAATGTAGTAGTTTGTCACATTAGAAGGCACAGAATTCTTTATTATTCTACATTGGTTCAGATGCTGCCAGGCTGACCTATTCACTACCAAGTTCATGCCAGTCTATCACTCGATGGTCTTAATGCCTACACCAGTGGTTCTCAAACTTTCCTAAAGCTGCAACCCTTTAATCCACTTCCTCACCTTGTAGTGGTTCCCAACCATAGATTACTTTTTTTCTAGTTCGGAACTATAATGTTGCTACTGTTATGAGTTGTAAATGTCTTAGGTGACCCCTGTGAAAGGGTTGTTTGACACCCCCCCCCAGGGGTTGTTACACAGGTAGAGAACCACTGTTCTGCCTGACTCTGCTGACATTCGCTAATTAAGAACTTTCAGTAGCTGTGAGATGCAGCTTATACAGACAGTTCTTTTTATTTGTTAATTTTCAAAACGAGTGGGTGCCCGGGCTATGCGTATAGCTAGAATACCTTCAGTGAAATTCCACTCCAGAGCGAACCTCCTAAAGTTTAACACTTTTCCCTCTGACTGAAACCTTTCATGTCGATACTTCTGAGTACAAAACAAAAAAAAAAAAAAAAGAAAGGATTAAAGCCTTTTTCTTGTAGAATTTTCTAATGCTCCTTAACGTATTTGCAATGGAAGAGTCCTTAAAAGGCTCCTTTAGGATTCTTGTGAATTCGCTGGTGGTAGGTGAGGTGTGAGTGTTGTCTAAAGGCCTTCGTACACTCCGTACATTTGTAAGGCTTCTCGCCAGAGTGGATTCTCTGATGCTGAATAAGTGATGAATGGAGCCGAAAGGCCTTCCCACACTCCTTGCAGTCGTAGGGTTTCTCACCCGTATGGATGCTCTGATGCTGAGTGAGCTGTGAGAGCAGTCTGAACGTTTTCTCACATTCCAAACATTTATAGGGCTTCTCGCCAAAATGGATACTCCGGTGTTGAGTCAGCTGTGAGAACAGCCTAAAGGCCTTCCCACATTCCTTGCAGTCATACGGCTTATCCCCGACGTGAATACCTTGGTGGGAAATGAGCTCCGAGTAACGGCGGAAGGACTTCTGACACGCCTTACACTCGTACGGTTTCTCACCGGTGTGGATTCTCTGGTGGAGCGTTAGATGATAGCCGCGACTGAACGTCTTCCCGCAGTCCTTGCAGTCAAAGGGCTTCTCGCCCGTGTGGATCCGCTCGTGCAGGGTGAGCTGCTGCCGCACGCGGAAGGCCTTCCCGCACTCCTTGCAGCCGTGGGGCTTCTCCCCCGTGTGCAGTTTGTGATGCAGCCGAAGGCCGGTGCTGCACAGGAAAGCCTGGCCGCACTCCTTACACTTGTAGCACGCGCCCGCGTTGTCGAGCCTCTGATGCCGGGTAAGGTGCGCGTACTGCCTGAAGGTCTTCCCGCACTCCTTACACACATAGGGCTTCTCCCCCGTGTGGATCCTCTGGTGGAGACTGAGCTGTCCCCGTACCCTGAAGGCCTTCCCACACTCTTTACATTCATGTGGTTTCTCACCAATATGACTTCTTTGATGGCCTCGGAGGTCTGAGCTACACGTGAAGATCTCTGCACACTTCTTGCATTCATAGAGTTTGTCAGACGCGTGAACCCTCTGATGTCGACTGAGGTGGGCGCACTGCCTGAAGGCTTTTCCACATTCTTTGCATTGGTAGGGTTTCTCACCGGTATGGATTCTCTGGTGGAACGTGAGTTGTTGGCGGACTCTGAACGCCTTTCCACACTCCCCACATCCGTAGGGCTTTTCTCTGTTAGGATTTTTCTCATAGAGGCCCACAGATGAGCGTTTTATGTACATAGGTCTTTTTCCAGGGGCGGATTTTGTCACTTGTCTGAAATACACCCTGTGAGAACTCTCTTGTTCTTCAAACGGTTTATATTCAAATTCTTTCTGAAAAAGGGAGTATTCGAGGCCATGCCTTGCAATTCTTCCCACTATTTCCCTTGGAGATAAATTGGTTTCATAAATATTCTTTTCTTGAAATAACATTTTACTGCTATATCTGGGTTCCAGCTCTGGAAACAAAGAAATAAAAAGGATAAATGTGACACTCTCCCAATTTGGATGAAATAAACAAATAGATGTAATTAGAACAGAAACCAAAAACACAACAGAAAACAAGCCAAAACCAGGTGTGATGGCATGTGTCTGATTCCAGCACTCCAGAGGCGGAGGAAGACACGTGAGTTACACATGCAGGCCAGCCTGGGCTACATCACAAGATTTTCAACTCAAGACAAGGAAAACAAAATAAGACAAAGTGAACAGCTGAACGGGCTAGAAAGACCCTCCACAAAAATCATGTGATTTGAAAATAAAAAGTTTAAGAGGGATAAAGAAACAATGAGACCAAATTATTTGGATAGACAGCAAAATGTGAGAATCTCTACTTGAAATTTATTTTTGAATTGTGCGTATTTCATATGTGTTAGCCTGCATGAGCTTATGTGCATCACATGGAAGCCAGATTCCCCAGAACTGGTGTGGCAGGCAGTTGTGAGCTGCCATGTGGCTTCTGCAAAGGACACAGGATCTCTGCAAAAACATTCAGCACTTTTACATGCTGAGATATTTCTCAAGCTCCACTACTCGATTTTTGTGATGACTGGTCTTTTTAAAGCAGAATAAAGTATATGTTCCCAAGAATACGATGACCTATGTTTGCCATATCCAAATCATTATCCCCTTTGCTTCTTATCTCTCTGTCACACTTTCTCCCTTTAAACTACTAAAAATAGGGGCTGGAGAGATGGCACAGCAGCCAAGGGAATTTGCCGTTCTTGCAGAGGACCTGTGTTCTGTTCCCAGGACCCACACGACTCACAAGGGTTTCAGTCCTAGAGGACTGAACACCCTCCTCTGGCCTCAGCAGGCACTAGACACACATACGGTACAAAGGTATGTATGCAGGCAAAACAACCACATAAATACATACAAACACATTTACATTTTTGAAAGAGTTTGATACAAGTTTAGGTTGTCATTTGTTTTGTTTTTCTTTGAGACAGGGTTTCATTCACTTTTGCTAGGCTGGTCTTGAACTCGGCAGGTTACCAAAGATGGCCTTAAGCTTTCTGATCTTCCTGCTGCCGTCTCCCTAGTATAGGGTGACAGATGTGCAGCACCACACCTGGTTTTATATGGTGCAGGGGATCTAACCAGGGCTTCCTGCATAGTAAGCAGACGCTCTATTGACTGAACTTCATCCCCAGCCCAAGAGTTCAATAATTTTTAAAATGAAAAAGGTATTTTTTTTAAAAAAAGGAATTCTTATCATATAGCAACATTATCTGTAACATGCCCAAACTGGAAGCCCTCATCAAGGGGAAAACAGCTAAGTGAATGGCGTCACATGAACACACACCACACACAGAATGGACAATCCACAACTACACACAACAATGAGAATCAGTTTCCCAACCGCACCAGTAAGTAAACAAAGTCAAATATATACACACACACACATAATTGAAAATAAAATGGGTATGGTGTGGTGGCACACACCTTTAATCCTAGCACTCAGGAGATAGAGGCAGGAAGGGACAATATAGTCTATATAGTGAGTACCAACCATGATAAGACCTAGTCCTCAAAATAAATAAATAAATAAATAAATAAATAAATAAATAATATAATTTGGCATCGTGAACAATCTCAAGCAGGAGACTCCTCTATAGATAAACAGTCAGTTTCTGCTACAAGGGGTTACCATTGTCTGTTCCTACTCAAATTCATATTCTTGCTAGCAACTGAAGCTGTTCATGCTTAAGGAGAACCTCTTCTATGAAACTCAGGTTGAATGTTCTGGAAGCACTAGTTACAAGTGCACATTGCATTGCTGGAGAAGTAAGTGTAGTTAATTAATAACATTGAAGATGGTGGGAAACAGGCCATCAGGTACTCTGCAGCTGGGGCTGTGGTAAAGTGCCTGGGTGGCCCATGTGAGTCCCTGGTTCCCATCCCCAGAACCACCACAACCAGCACAAACAAAATCAAAGCTGCCTTTGTGAACGAAGCAGCTGAGTGAACTGAAGCTCAAGAGGTCCCAGACAGAGACTTCAGATTGGTTTTATTTTCGTGATCACTCTCCCAAAATAACTTCACACTAATCCCTAAACCTTATCCCAGTTCTCCATATCATTACCCTACTCATTTTCCTTCCAATTCTTAGAAGGTTGCCTTTCCCAGACAAAGTCTCACTATGTAGCCCTGGCTAGTCTGGAACTTGCTATTAGACCAGGTTTACTTTAGATTCCCAGAGACTCACCTGCCTCCTAAGAGTTGGGACTAAAGACGTGAACCACCATACCTAGTCATTTCAGGATATTAATGAGACATTTATTTTCTGTTTTCTATGGTTGTGCGGGTCAGGTGATCAAGGCCATGGCTAAATAGATGCTCAACCACCGAGCCACACCCCTAACACAAGCATGTACTTAGTATTTTTCAACTTTTACATTCATCTTGCCTGCATGTGTGTCTGTGCACCGTGTGCGTGCAGTGTCCTTGGAGGCCAGAAAAGGGTATCATGTCTCTTGGAATGGGAGTTACAAATGTTTGTGTGCCATGGTGTGAGTGCCAGAATCTACTGTCACTGCTCTTAACAGCCAATCCATCTTTCTAACCCCCACCCCGATTTATTGTATGACTTCGTTACAAATATAAACCCCATCAAACAATAATTACATACATGAGAACTAAAATAGAAAGTGGGCACAGTGGCACACACCTGTAGTCGCAGGCTGGGGACAATCTGAGACAGGAGGATGAGGAATTCACAGTCAGCCTCATTATATAGCAAGACCCTATCTCAGAAAAAAAAAAATTAGGTTGTTAAGATGACTCAGCAGTTAAGGCTGCTTAAGAGGACCAGAGTTCAAGTCCCAACACCTACAGGGTGGTTCATGACTACCTGTAACTCTAGTCTCCAGGGGATCTGATGCCCTCTTCAGGCCTCAGTGGACCCCAGGCATGCAAGTGGTCCACAAGCATACCAGCAAAGCAACTATGGAAATGAAATAAAATTAATTTGGAAGGTTCTTAAGGAGTCCTATTATCATCTCAGGGGTGCATCCTCCAATTTTCCCATCAGCATCTCAGAGGTGTTAATTCTCTAACCTTCCCATCAGCATCTAAGAGTGTGCTCCAACCTTCCCATCAGCATCTCAGGGTGCATCCTCCAACCTTCCTATCAGCATCTCAGAGTGTCTCCAACCAGCAGGTGTACATCAATCACACCATGCCTCTGTCCGGTGAGCACTCACTCACCTTGGCTCCACCTTCTCTTCTCATCCCTCACAATCATCCAGGGCTCTTTCCCTTGTTCCAACAGGGTGATCACATCTGGTTTAGAAATGGAACATCCTGCTTGAAAGAACAGAACAGAATATACGTAAAGAATGGATCTATTTGCCAGGTGGGGTGATACATGGCTGTGACCCCAGCACTTAAGAGGAGAAGGAAGGAGGATCAGGGTGCAGTGTCATGGCCACATAGTGAATTCAAGGCTAGGAACCTGTATGGGGTCAGGGCACACACAGAGTTTTGTTTATCATCATCATCATTCATCATCATTATCACCATCATTAACTTTTTCAAGACAGGGCTTCTCTGTGTAGCCCTGGCTGTCCTGGAACTCATTCTGTAGACCAGGCTGGCCTCAAACTCAGAGATTCATCTGCCTCTGCCTCCTGAATGCTGGGATTAAAGGCATGCACTACCACCACCCAGCTGTTTAATTTAGTTTTTTTAACATTCGTTTGTGCGTGTTTGGGTGTTTTGCCAGCATGTATGTCCATGTACCATGGGCACACAGTGCTCTCAGAGGCCAGAAGAGGGTGTTGGATCCCCTGGAACTGGAGTTACAAATGGTTGTGAGATGCCCTGTGGATGCTGGGAAACAAACCTATATGCTCTGCAAAAGCAGCCAGTGCTCTTTACTTATGAACCATCTCTCAGGATCAAAAGAAAGACTCAATTCTTCAAAACAAAGATGGCTACCAGAGTAGAAAAACATTAGAATTGGAATTATTTTAGTATCAAGAATAGAGATATGGTTTTACTTTCATTTAAACTCATACAACTCCATCCTTTAAAAACTTTTTTCATTATAATTATGTATTTGAATGACGTGAGGTGTTAGCATGTGCACAGTGGGAAAAGGGCCTGAGGTGAGCTTACCCAATGACACCAAGTGGCTGTAATTCTCTAACATCACATCTTTGTACAGATCCCTCTCAGAGGAATTCAGGCTCTCCCACTCTTCCTGAGAGAAGTCCACAGTCACATCTCTGAACACCACCTCACTCTGAAATGACAAACCCATGTATTATGCATAAAATAAAAGGGAACAGAATTTGCTGGGGGGGCATGTCTAAGTCATTGTTCTATAACACATGAGGAATTCACAGTCAGCCTTATAAATACTCTTATAAGGAAAGCATCTAACTGAGGGCTTCCTCGTCATTTTAGAGGGTTAGTCCATGATCATAGTAGCAGGAAGCAGACAGGCAGGGCTCTACAGCAGTATCTGAGAGCTTTACATCCTGATACATAGGCATCAGGCAGAGACAGACAGACAGACACGCACGCACGCACACAGACTTGGGCTTAGTGTAGGCTTTTGAAGCCTGAAAGCTCAGCCCCGCAACACCTCCCACCTCCTCCAACAAGGCCACACCTCCTAATCCTTCCCAAATATTCCCACTAACTGG